ATTATAATGGACATATGACAGTCCATTGCAATGATTTATAACTGTAAAATTATTCAAATAACGTTTTTGTAATAAACTTTGAACTCTTGACTTGCCATTGTCGTGACACATGAGGAGTTGCTGACTCCGTATCATTAATCCTTGTTGTGATCCCTGATCTTTATGGCAAAATTTAAGCAAGCAACATTTAAGGTCCATAAGAAAATAAGAGTTTGTTGGCATGCCTACGGCGAACACGAAGAGTTTGTTGGCATGCCTACAACGAACACGAGGAGTTTGTTGGCATGCCTACGGCGAACACGAAGAGTTTGTTGACATGCCTACGGCGAACACTAAGAGTTTGTTGACATGCCTACGGCGAACACGAAGAGTTTGTTGGCATGCCTACAACGAACACGAGGAGTTTGTTGGCATGCCTACAACGAACACGAGGAGTTTGTTAGCATGCCTACAACGAACACAAGGAGTTTGTTAGCATGCCTACAACGAACACGAGGAGTTTGTTGGCATGCCTATGGCGAACACGAGGAGTTTGTTGGCAAGCCTACAACGAACATGAGGAGTTTGTTGGCATGCCTACAGCGAACACGAAGAGTTTGTTGGCATGCCTACGACGAACACAAGGAGTTTGTTAGCATGCCTACAACGAACACGAGGAGTTTGTTAGCATGCCTACAACGAACACGAGGAGTTTGTTGGCATGCCTACGGCGAACACGAAGAGTTTGTTGGCATGCCTACGGCAAACACGAAGAGTTTGTTGGCATGCCTACGACATACATGAGGAGGTTTGCTAGCAGACCACATGTTATCTCAGAACTGGGTAATAACACTACAGCATTGTTTATAACTGTAGCTGTCTAATAGTAATGTTCTGTTTGAAGTCAAAACAACAAATGAACACCAACCTTCTGTTTAAATATTTTTATTGGCATGTAAAGAACTTCAAACAATTTGTAGTCAATTTTTCACAATGCATCCATTTTCATTTATTCCAATATAAATCGTTGTGAACGTGCAGAGGAATTGTGCATAATTATCTGTCTGCTAACTACCCAGCTGGATAGGTTCATTGGGCCAACGTTGCGGTCGGTCGGCATGGTCACAGGCTCAATCGCAGTGTTGGCCCAACATACAAAATTGACTGTTTAAGGGCAGCATAATTTCAACATTTTCGGAACGTTTGCCCAACAGTTGAAATATGACCGATTCTTTGCGAATGTCAAGGATGCTCCTTCCTTAAGCTTCCAACATTCATCCAATGTTGGTTCGATAGATGTGTTTATCAGCAACAGTATTTGGTCAGGGCCCACAACAAAAATGAATACAGCTATGGACTGACACAGTTGTTATATACCTAACAATTTTACATGGCAAAATGTTTCACTTAAAGCTGGCTGTTTAAAAACATGGGTACCACATTGGGCAGACATGTTTCTTACTGAAACGTCGGTGCCACGTTGGGCTGACATGTTTAATTTCTTACTGAATCGTCGGTGCCACGTTCGGCTGACAGCCAAACCTTTGAATAAATTATACATGGTCAGTTTAATAGTTACTATGCAGCATTGGACTGCTACTGTTGCATATTTCACAGTGTGATAAATTTTGTTTAAAGCTGATATTTATACCAAGTTGGTGCCACATGTGTTCTATAATGCCAGTAAAACGTCAGTGCACCGTTGGGCTGACACATTCTTTTCTCCAACATCGGCACCACGTTGGGCTGACAACAAAACATTACTTTACATGGTCAGTTTAACAGGCTACTACTACTGGTTTAGACCGACAACATTGATTATACATTGTAATATATTTTGTTTATATTTGGTATTTTACAACATTGGTGACATGTTGGATCGATGTATTATTTTCTACAATGTCGGTGCCACTTCAGGCCGACATCTAGACGTATGAGTGACATATAAATTTACATGGTCGGTCGAACAAAGTTAGTACAGTATTGGACTGTTTGGTTTGTTTGTGTTTTAAGTCCTATTAACAGCTATGGCCATATAAGGTGTGCCAGGTTTTGGTGGTGGAGGAAAACCGGAGTTCCCGGAAACAGACAACGACCAACGGCCAGCACCTGGACTGACACTACGACATGTTTTACATGTTTACAGTGAAAGATATTTCGTTTATAACTCGTGTTTTTCTACAATGTTGGTGCCACATTGGACTGACACATTGTCGTCAACTAGATGTTTGAACAAAACTTAAGTAAATCGGGAATTATAGTTCTACGCTCAATCGATAATTTTTACTTGCTTTAATTACAGTATAACCATTGGGAAGTGGTTGGTATGACAACATGTTTGTCGCGTTTATTGGACTGACACATAATTTTTTGATACATTTATATTTAATCAAAAGAAATTTTGAGAATAGAATATCAAGTAAAAAACTTTTTCAAAGTTTATTTGAATAAGAAATGATTTGAATGATTAATTGATATTCTCCATTCTCCTAAATTGTCAACATTTGCAGTTCACTAAACATTTCCTGTGTGACAGGCAAATCTCCTTATCTCATGTAACTAAACACTTCTACCTATATATGGCTATGATCAGCACACACATTCTGTCTTTGAATGGGGGGTCAACAGTTTCTGCATTTCCTTTGTTTAAAACTGAAGCTGGACATGGTTCTGTAGAGTAGAAAGACACACTTTCCATAGTTGCTATGGTTCTTAAGGATGTACACCTCTGAGAAGTCAAAAAAATCCTGTATTAAACTTTTTTTCTTATATTGATTTTTGGAAAAAGGAGATAACGGCATAGTAGAAAAGGCAAAAAAAATAATATGTCCGTGTGTTCGTTTTTGTGCTATGATCGGTCAAAGATACCAATTTAACACAATAGGTAATTTTAGGTGAATTTACGGGTTTTGACCATTTGCAGAACACATTCATACAATTTCTTCCAAGTGTGTTATCAGATATGTATGAATGTTTGTAGAATTGATTAAAATATTATTTTCATTTAAATTATGGAAGTAAAATTTCTTAATCTTATTCATTTTACTCAGAAATGCGAATTTAGTTACCCCTACCCCTTATTTTTAACTGAAAAAATGCATGTTTTTTCACCATTTTTTGCAGATTAAACGCTTGATATAAAAAAAATCCTGTAATTAACTTTTTATAGTATTCAATGAATCAAAAGAAAATGTGCTTCTCTTTCTAAAACAGCCACAAAAATGGGGGGTTAGTGTGCTTTTTTTTTGTCCCATTATTATTTGTGTTATTTTTCACCTTTTTCAGGGTCAAAAATCAAAAGTGCTTCAGTTACCCTAATATGTGAAAAAAAATACCAATAATATATAACTTTCCACTTTTTGGCATATTATTTTGATCATATTGAACATTTTCAAAATGGCCACCAAATTGGTCATTTTTTTCAAATTCTTGTAAAAAATGTTCTACACACAACAGACATCTAGTTTTTTGACATGTTTTTCAGATGTGTGTTTGCTATTAAACCTATCATAATTTGTTAAATATTACAAAAACCCGTTACACCAGATCAAAACGAGACTTGAACGTGACTGAAACCTCAGAAGAGTACACCCTTAATGTAATAAACTCATAAGTTAATTGTCCATAGCTGCTATTGATCTTTATATAATTAACTGATAAGTTGTCCATAGCTACTATATTTCTTTATATAATTAACTGATAAGTTGTACATAGCTGCTATGGTTCTTTATATAATTAACTGATAAGTTGTCCATAGCTGCTATGGTTCTTTATATAATTAACTGATAAGTTGTCCGTAACTGCTATGGTTCTTTACATAATTAACGGATAAGTTGTTCGTAGCTGCTATTGTTCTTTATGTAATTAACTGATAAGTTGTCCGTAACTGCTATGGTTCTTTATATAATTAACGGATAAGTTGTCTGTAGCTGCTAGGGGTCTTTATATAATTAACTGATAAGTTGTCTATAGCAGCTATTGATCTTTATATAATTAACTGATAAGTTGGCCATAGCTACTATATTTCTTTATATAATTAACTGATAAGTTGTCTAAAGCTGCTATTGATCTTTATATAATTAACTGATAAGTTGTCCATAGCTGCTATGGTTCTTTATATAATTAACTGATAAGTTGTCCGTAACTGCTATGGTTCTTTACATAATTAACGGATAAGTTGTTCGTAGCTGCTATTGTTCTTTATGTAATTAACTGATAAGTTGTCCGTAACTGCTATGGTTCTTTATATAATTAACCGATAAGTTGTCTGTAGCTGCTATGGTTCTTTATATAATTAACTGATAAGTTGTCTATAGCCGCTATTGATCTTTATATAATTAGCTGATAAGTTGTCCGTAGCTGCTATTGCTCTTTATATAATTAACGGATAAGTTGTTCGTAGCTGCTTTTGCTCTTTATGTAATTAACTGATAAGTTCTCCGTAACTGCTATGGTTCTTTATATAATTAACTGATAAGTTGTCCGTAACTGCTATGGTTCTTTATATAATTAACGGATAAGTTGTCCGTAGCTGCTATTGATCTTTATATAATTAACTGATAAATTGTCTAAAGTTGTGAGTGATCTTGTAAGCTATCCATAAATATACACAGGTCTGCAGACCACTATCTGACATGACCTCACTATTAGTAACTTCCCACAGGTGCCAAAGTTCTATAAGTAACTCTATGTTCCTTGCATGAGAAATGAAATAAATGCACATTCAGAGCCATTTCTATATATATGTATATATTAGAGTTTAACGTAACTCCAGAGGTTTTGTTGCCCATATTCATTAATATATTGAAATTAGCATAAAAAACAAATCACTGAAGAAAGTAAAACACACAAAAAATGTGAAAACTGTTAACAGTTGACTAGGTATAACAGTAACGCTGATCACTGTCACTAGACTAGGTATAGCATTATTGATCCTCTGCATCCCACGAATGAGTTGCTAATTTCCCCACTGATGCGGAGAGAATCTCCCCCTTTACCTAGTGTATGATAGTTATCAACTTTATAACAGTAGGGAGATTGCTGCAACTTGTCTGTAACCTGTATACAGCCTGTACAGGGCCCAGCCTAACTGCTGTAGTGCTAGGTACTCTTGTGTCGGCCCTCCTTATAAAAAACAGGAAATAATGGAGCTAGTAATGGACCAATTCTCGGCTACAGTGTAACATGGAGGCTAGCTGTGGGAGGTTTTCTATGATCAACAGGATGTCGAAGTGTTGAGAATGAGCACCATGACCAGGTACGTCTATTACGTGTCATGACCAGGTACGTCTATTACGTGTCATGTCCAGGTACGTCTATTACGTGTCATGTCCAGGTACGTCTATTACACACAGTGACAGTTCAGTTTTTAATCCAAAGTTACATCCTATGTATGACTCTCACATTCTTGTTCGTAAGTGGTATAGCCAGTCTGCGATATGGTTGTATGGTTTTATTAGGTAAAAAGCTGATTAACAGGAAAACACTTATTTTAAAGTTAAGGAAAGAGCTAACACATGCTAACACACTGACATTTTTTCGTTAAGTAACACAAGTTTTTCAGGTTTCTGTAATTTCATAAGGAAGTTAAAATATGTCAACATGTTTTCTTAAGAGTCTTTTATTTAAATGCTAAGCTCTATTTTCTATTTCTCATCAGTTCTATGCCTGCCCCATCCCTTTAAACACAACATCTATGAATCTTCTGGCTCAGATAATCTTACTGCTAAATTTTGTTCAAATCTATTTAAATTATAAAATATATGTAATTCTTTTGAAGATTTATTTCTATTCAGCTGTGCTACTAAGGGAGGACGAAGATTTTTTATTCAAAATTAAATTTTCATCAACCAAAGATGACAAATTTAGTAAAATTCCTTCCAGCTGTTCTGAGCTGGTAGTCTGTTATAGGGTTGCAGTGTAATTGATAAACAATGGCTGCTGTGATGTGGAATGAGTTTATTTCCATTCTGTGTTAGTAACAGCCACATGATCTACTTTAATAAGGAGGATTGTATTTGTATTTACTTTTCCATCTATTTAAGAAGTGAGAAACCACTCATATATTATATTGACCAAACAAACAGTAATGGCAATGTCACTTAGGTGTAAACACTGATACAGTAAAAGGTTTCATTTTGATATTTAACAAAAGGAATGATAGATATGGTATGCAAACAGTCAGGAGGATGTCAGTTATTTTCCAATAAACCCCATTACCACTTAAACTGGACCATTTCCACTAGATACATGACCACCCTAACCTAGACAATTGCCACTAAATACATTACCAATTAAAATGGACCAATACCACAATATACTTTACCACTTAACTGGGCCAATACAACTATATACCACTTAAACTGGACCAATATCACTATATACAAATAAACTGGACCAAAATCCTGGTATACCACTTAAACTGGACCAATACCCCTATATACCAATTAAACTGCACCAATACCCCTATATACCAATTAAACTGCACCAATACCCCTATATACCAATTAAACTGGACCAATATCACTATATACAAATAAACTGCAACATTACCACAATATACATTACCACTTGAACTGTACCATACCACTGTACTCCAATTAAACTGGAACAATACCAGTATATACCAATTGAAATGGACCAATACCACTGTATACCATTTAAACAGGACCATTAACACTATATTACAATTAAACTGGACCAATACCACTGTATACCACTTAAACTTGACCAATACCACTGTATACCAATTAAACTGGAACAATACCAATGTATACCACTTAAACTTGACCAATACCACTGTATACCAATTAAACTGGAACAATACTACTGTATACCAATTAAAATGGACCAATACCACTGTATCCCAATTAAACTGGACCAATACCACTGTATACCAATTAAACTGGACCAATACCAATGTATACCACTTAAACTTGACCAATACTACTGTATACCAATTAAACTGGAACAATACCACTGCATACCAATTAAAATGGACCAATACCACTGTATACCAATTAAACTTGACCAACACCACTGTATACCAATTAAACTGGAACAATACCACTGTATACCAATTAAACTGGAACAATACCAATGTATACCAATTAAATTGGACCAATACCACTGTATACCAATTAAACTGGAACAATACCACTGTATACCAATTAAACTGGACCAATACCACTGTATACCAATTAAATTTGACCCATATCACTATACCAATTAAACTGGACCAATACTACAATATACCAATTAAACAGGACCAAAACCATGGTATAACAATTAAACTGGACCAACACCAATATATATGCCAATTAAACAGGACCAATACCACTGTTTACCAATTAAACTTGACCAATATTACTATATACCAATTAAACAGGACCAAAATCACAGTATACAAATTATACTGGATAAATACCACTATATACTACTTAAACAGGACCAATACCTCTGTATAACAACTAAATTCGACCCATACCACTGTATACCTGACCACCTAAACTGGACTCTCTGACTGACTGAATTTAATGAGATTGTAGTGTGAAACAAATTATCATATTACACACTGTTCAACAACAATATTTTCAAAATTGTTGTAAACGAATATCTCAGGAGAGCAAAATAAATTAGTAGACTTTTTTACCTAATGGTCAATAAAACCAGAGCTTAAATTTGTACAGAAGTTAAACTGGTTTCTGTACAGAGATTCACCTGGTTTCTGTACAGAGATTCACCTGGTTTCTGTACAGAGATTCACCTGGTTTCTGTACAGAGATTCACGTGGTTTCTGTAGAGATTCACCTGGTTTCTGTACAGAAATTCAGCCAGTTTTTGTTGAGTTTTAATATCCTTGTTTCTATATACAGGCTAAAATGGTTTCTTTTTGAAGAATGTTTTAACTTGATTTTTATACAGCACTGAACTAGACTGAACTGTGAAGCAATACAGATACCATGAGTACGTCTCCAATGGTGTCAGCCTTGTAACAGCAGGCTAGATTGGAACAATACACTTGTATGCATCCTCTATTGACACAATCACGTTCGCTGACAGACTTATTTCTGAAAGTGGTTAAGAAATCCTCAACAAAGCCTGTTGTTCAATTATAAACAGAATTAAACAATGACAGATGCCTAAAGGTTTATGATATGCTAAATTCTGATCGGTTAACTGGCACATTAGATATCCTACAAACAGGGCATGAGGTTAAGTACCTGTATTTATTGTATATAATTAGAGAGAATTACCCATCTGGTGTGATGAATACTCAGCCAAGTAATAGCTGTGTAGGAGGATGTCTAACTAAGGCCAGTATAACAGGCCATTGGTACCTCTCACTGGTTCAGTGTTGTACTGTCTATATCAAGTCATTGGTACCTCTCCCTGGTACAGTGTTGTACAGTCTATAGCAGGTCATTGGTACCTCTCCCTGGTACAGTGTTGTACAGTCTATACCAGGTCATTGATACCTCTCACTGGGTCAGTGTTATACAGTCATTGGGACCTCTCACTGGTTCGGTGTTGTACAGTCTATATCAAGTCAGTGGTACCTCTCACTGGTTCAGGGTTGTACAGTCATTGGTACCTATCACTGGTTCAGTGTTGTACTGTCTATATCAAGTCATTGGTGCCTCTCACTGGTTCAGTGTGGTACAGTCATTGGTACCTCTCCCTGGTACAGTGTTGTACAGTCTATAGCAGGTCATTGGTACCTCTCACTGGTTCAGTGTTATACAGTCATTGGTAACTGTCACTGGTTCAGTGTTGTACAGTCTATAACAGGTCATTGATACCTCTCACTGGTTCAGTGTTGTACAGTCTATATCAAGTCATTGGTACCTCTCACTGGTTCAGTGTTGTACAGTCTATAACAGGACATTGATACCTCTCACTGGTTCAGTGTTGTACATTCATTGGTACCTCTCACTGGTTCAGTGTTATACATTCATTGGTACCTCTCACTGGTTCAGTGTTGTACAGTCTATATCAGGTCATTGATACCTCTCACTGGTTCAGTGTTAAACAGTCATTGGTACCTCTCAATGGTACAGTGTTGTACAGTCTATAACAGGTCATTGGTACCTCTCACTGGTTCAGTGTTGTATAGTCTATAGCAGGTCATTGGTACCTCTCACTGGTTCAGTGTTGTACAGTCTATAACAGGTCATTGATACCTCTCACTGGTTCAGTGTTATACAGTCATTGGTACCTCTCACTGGTTCAGTGTTATACAGTCATTGGTACCTCTCACTGGTTCAGTGTTATACAGTCATTGGTACCTCTCACTGGTTCAGTGTTGTACAGTCATTGATACCTCTCACTGGTTCAGTGTTATACATTCATTGTTACCTCTCACTGGTTCAGTGTTGTACAGTCATTGATACCTCTCACTGGTTCAGTGTTGTACAGCCATTGGTACCTCTCACTGGTTCAGTGTTGTACAGTCATTGGTACCTCTAACTGGTTCAGTGTTGTATAGTCATTGATACCTCTCACTGGTTTAGTGTTGTGCAGTCATGAATGCCTCTCACTGGTTCAGTGTTAAACATTCATTGGTACCTCTCAATGGTTCAGTGTTGTACAGTCTTTGGTACCTCTCACTGGTTCAGTGCTGTACAGTCATTGTTACCTCTCGCTGGTTCAGTGTTATACAGTCTCTGGTACCTGTCACTGGTTCAGCGTTGTACAGTCTATATCAGGTCATTGATCCCTCTCACTGGTTCAGTGTTGGTCATTGCTACCTCTCAATGGCTCAGTCTTGTACAGTCTAAATCAGGTCATTGCTACCTCTCAATGGTTCAGTCTTGTACAGTCTTATACAGTCATTGGTACCTGTCACTGGTTCAGCGTTGTACAGTCTATATCAGGTCAGTTGTACAGTCTATATCAGGTCAGTTGTACAGTCTATATCAGGTCAGTTGTACAGTCTATATCAGGTCATTGATTCCTCTCACTGGTTCAGTGTTGGTCATTGCTACCTCTCAATGGTTCATTATACATTCATTGGTACCTCTCACTGGATCAGTGTTATACAGTCATTGGTAACTGTCACTGGTTCAGTGTTGTACACTCATTGATACCTCTCACTGGTGTTCCGTGTTGTACAGTCTATAACAGGCCATTGATACCTCCCATTGGTTCATTGTTATACAGTCATTGGTACCTGTCACTGGTTCAGTGTTGTACAATATCAGGTCATTGATACCTCTCACTGGTTTAGTGTTGTACAGTCTATAACAGTTCATAGCT